AAAAAGTTAGATTAATCGTGATTAATCGTGATTATTCACAGCTACCTTGGAATTAATAGATTAAAGATTTTAATCATTTAACAGCCCTAGAAAATACCTGAGTTTCTATTAGTGTTAAAATATCTTCATTGTGTTTCTTTTATGTTAATGTAAATTTTATGTTTTTGGGGGGACACAGTCACCCACTAAAACATATAGCAAAAGCAAATAATAGTTAATTTTAATGCCACACATTCTAAGGCGGTCAGTAGGAAACACTGGTGCTTTTCACGCTCATATAGTATACTGGTCCCCAGACACTATTTGACATTTCAACAGAGCCACATACAGCCATTTCCTAAAGTTATAATTTACTCATTTCCATTAAGGGATKGTGTGTTTGTGTATGGCCGTACATATAAATGTGTCTGCGGACAGAAATAAAAAAAAATCTGAGGCGGGGGGAAATCAGCGATGGGTGGTATGATGTGAAAATCGACAGGTTCCTAWTTGCTGAGACACAACAACGTCCCAGTCCGGTTGGACACCAGGCATCGGTTCTACCTATGTTGTTCGTCGGCGACAGCGTGTCCTCATGCTTGAAGGACAAGCTGGAGAGCTGGGGGGTGTGGTGGGATGGCGTGTGACCATAACTGGGGTTGCTGTCGAAACCCACAGCTCCATAACCTGAGAGGAAAAACAACAAGACAAGTAATGGAAACAAATGCGTCCTCCTTCCTGGCTGAGTCATTACAGAGCTCACAAATGATGTTAACATTTAGAAGCTTGCAAAATCTGCAGTATTTGGTCAGTTCTGCATGTTGCCCCTCGTAGTAACTCTTATACTTCCTGGCAGCGTTACCACGGAGAGACATTTATCACGTGACAAAAAAAATCGTCTTTCCTTATAACATAGTCCTTTTTCCTCTCTTCTATCATCGGCCTTGTGGTTGTAATATTTATGGCGGCTGGAAAAAGAAAATTGGCGGACACACAAGAGACAGACCAAGAATGAACTACTGTTAAAGAAGCTCCATTAAAAAAAAATCTTTGAAGAGAAATGATCAGGACTTGTATGAATTTAAATTTAAACGCAGCTGGTAACCTTAATAAATGGTATTTTTTTAGAGCATTCTACTGCAGCACAGCTTATAAAGCAGAAGAGTGATTTAAAAAAAAAAACTAACAYGAGCTTGTCAATTCACACAAACTGTGCTTGACGTTCTGAGTCAGGCCTAAGCTGGAAGTTAAAATGCTTTGCAGAGAAATGACTCATAAAATCTGAAACTCTTGCTTAATCTCAAATCTATTTTTCWATCTTATTACTTCAACGAACACAACTTTCCAAAGTGCAAACAGAATACTGCTGTGCACACACATCAGATGTAAGAAGGTTTAAATCTATAAACTAATGAAACTAAATGTACACAGGTCACGTGTTTTACTTAAGACTTAATTCCAAATAACACATTAACTTTCTCTGGACTGTTGTGGTTTACAGATGTAGTCCAAAGTTTTTAATCTGACTTTGAGTTTCACAAATTAATTTAAAAGTTATGAATAATGAAAAGATTTTGTGAACCAGTAGATGTTTGACCCTTTGACCTTTCTTTTTCAAACACATTTTGTTGTTCACAGCAGAAAAGGTCAGGAGGTTCCCTTTTTAATTACACTTGCACTGTTTTTGTTATTATCCTCAGTTTTCCTGATACAGAGTTCACTAAATCCAAGACTGTTGGATTCTGGTTCTGGTTCAGAGTCCTCCTGCTCCAACTCAAAATGACTGACATGTTGAAAGATAAAGGTACAAAAAGTGTAAAGTGTTTCTGGCTTGCAAATATGATAGTTCTTTTTGTTGTTKTTCTAATTTGACAGCAAACTGAAGTGGAAGTGGTCATCGAGAGGCTCACCTTGGTTCCTGGGTGCAGGGGYGCTGTCCACACAGCCGGGCAGGTAGGCTCCGCTGGCAAACATCCTTGTTTGACCCGCAGCCGGTTCCCCAAAGGGACCGACCCGACAGGGGCCTGAGCCCGTTAGCTGGCTGGAGAAGTGCACGGTAAAGGCCCCGCAGTGAGGGTCCTCCGTTGGGTCTGTGGTCCCCCAGCTCGGCTCCTGCTTTATGAGGGAGTGGTGGGAGTTCAGGGAGCTGTAGGGAGAGCTGGGGTGGAGGTCCAGCAGCTGGGTCCACGGACCACTGCCAACAGACATCCCACAGCCACCAACAGCTCCTGGCAGGGACGGCACAGAGGGCGCTGGCGGCAGGAAGGTCAGGTCACAAACATCTGACCCCAGTGACATGGCTCCACACTGTTCAGTCAACATGAGTGAACACAGGCTAGGAAAGTCCTCACTGGAGTCCGGTCAAAATCAATCAATAAATAAATACAGGATAACAAAGTCCTAACAATAAGAGAAGAAATAAAAAGCGTGGAGGCAAGAAGGCTTYRAAACKTTCTCAGAAAACGCCACAGAAGTCATCTTCGCTCCTCATCAGGACGGAGTGAAGAATGAAACGAACCGACCAATAACTGCAGTCTGGATGCCAAATTTCAAGCTCGCTGTGTACCTGCAGAGGGTAGAMGTGTGGGTCTGAAAGGTTGTGGTTGCTCAGTCCCTACATTATCTGGTTTTCCTTGTTCTCCTGAAGACTGAAATACTGCAGAACTCTGAAGAGGGGGAGGAGCGAGACAGAAGAGGATGTCTCATCTTCGCTTTGGCCCAAAGACAGCGCATCTGAGCACATTCTGACGACAGCGTCACATTTTACTTTGGAGGCCGTTGCTGTTCAGCTCATTGTTTGTAGTTTATGTCACCCCTGTGAGTGTATTAAGGACAGCGTCTGTTATTATCTCTTTACGTTTGCACACATTGTTCAGYGTGTTTCAATGAATTTGTATAGAATTTTCAAAATAAATACTCTGATGTGAAAAATGTAATTTTTTTGTGAATGCTTATGTTTGAATGAAACACATTCAAACTCAAGAGAAAATTTAAAGTTTATTCTGGAAAACCCCAAAAACTAACACACAAGAAAAAAATGTGAAAAATTAGTCAGACGATACAAAAAAAACATCTGTTCTGATAAGGTTAGCTTTGTGTTTCAGTTTTGAAAATGTGGGTGTGTGTAGTTTTACATGTGAAATTTTTACGTGCAATTCTTAAATTTCGCTGGAAACAACAAGCAAAGGTTCTTGAAATGAAAATAAGTATTAAAACTCAACCTGTGAAGCTGTGAAACATGACGACGTGCTCCTAATTTTTTCATTTTTCGATAATTTTGTCAAAAGGAGCTCTCTAAATGCACAACCTTGGATTGAAGCCACATCACACAAAAAGAGAACTATTAGTAGAGGACAGTGTGTGTGTGTGTGTGTGTGTGTGTGTGTGTGTGTGTGTGTGTGTGTGTG